GGCATTCCAGAAGATATTGGGTTCCTGAGATGTAGACAGCTTTATCAGCCAAAACCAGAACTTTGCATTGGGCTCAGACACATACAGGCAGCCAGTATAGTTGTAACGAAATTGGTTTCGTCTGATCTGTTTGCCTGGAAACTGTCAAAAGGCAGGCACATTCTGCACTAATTGAAGCTTCTGAACCATTTTCAAAGGCAGCTCCATGGAAAGCACATTGCAACTGTCCAGTCTTGAATTTACCAGAGCATGGATTACTGTAGTCATGTTATCCCTGTCCAGATAGGGCTGTAGTTGGGCCACTGAAGGCTGCCCTGCATATTATGTTCCCTGGGTGGAATCAGGTCTGTTCTGTCACTTCCTGCCAACTTCTATCTCTGCCACCTCCCTTTTGTGTATTTCTTTCTCTTCACCGGCACCTAGCTGGCTTCCAGGGGAGAGGCAGGTCACTCTAGCCAGATGTTTTAGCAGTTCAATTGCAGAGGGCTTTTGAAATCAGGCTTGGAGCTGCATGTAGGGCATGCAGGTTGCCCATCCTTGCCCTTCAGGATATTTTCCCTGGGATGGGCCAGTTTAGTTTCTGATTTGCAGAAGAATGCTTTCTGACCAACACAGCAGCAGTACACAAAACAGTCCTTTCAGAAGTAGATAGCCTGAGCTAGTTTCTACTGATGCAAAAATTAGCAAATGATACTATGTTTGCATTGGTTTTAAATCAGAGATGTCTTGAGGAAATGAAATTCTTCCTTTATACAATCCTTTATACAATCAATCTTCTAATGACGTCACGTTTGAAGATTGCAGCCAACACTCTGCATTTCTCATATTTCAGGTCAAAGAACTGTGTAAACATTTTCACAATCAAAGTGAATTGAAGAAGAAAAAATTGGCTTGTTCTTAAACCGGTCTGCTTTTAATTTTACCTTAAATATTTACAGATTTCACAACCCTGAACCCTTTTTTTTAAGAATATCCATAGCGCTGAAATCTGAACATCAATTCAAAGACATAAATAGAAACAAGTAATATTCCAAAAGGGAGATAGACCTTTGTGTTGGAGGTCAAACAATTCTATAGATGGGGAAAATCATGTGTCATGTCATGTCAGAAATAAACATGGTCCCAACACAAAGTGGAGATTTACTTGGTACAGAACAAACTGTGGTTCAGAGTTAGCTTACTATACAAAGTTTCTGCAACACAGAAACATATTTATTTGTAAAGATTATAGCATAAGGCCCAGATTCAACGAACTCCTAACACTGGTGGAGGAACGGGAGTGTGGAGGGAGCAGGCCGCCCCCGGCCCCACTATTCCAGTAGGGTGCCATCACGGTGCCCCCCGACACATGCTGCACCCCTCCCGCGTGCCGGGCACCACGCCCCCACAGGCAGCACACTACACCCCCAGAACGCGTGCCATGCCCTCACGGGCGGCGTGCCACGGGCAGCGTGCCATGCCCCCGGGGAGTGCACCACATCCCTGGGGGGCGCCGGCCATGCCCACCTGCTCTCCTAGCAGAATCCAATGCTCCCACTAGTCCAATGGGGCTTGCCCTCCCCCAAATCCATTGTGAAGGATCAGCAAAAACCCCAGAACAGCGTGTAAGGGGACTAGAGGAGTGGTTGTTCTGTTTGGTGAGCAGAAATGCTTGCACTGATGGAACGATCAGAAGAGCAGAACATTGAATTCCTCCCAATGAGCAGAAAATATCCTATCATAAATTGTCTAGTAGAGCATTTAATACATACAGATTTTCCCAGCTGATACAGTGTGCTTGTGGTTATATAGGAACAGTATTCTGCTGTCTGAAGGAATGCTAGTGTGTGGGGTTTACCAGCCAGTAATGATCCTTGACAATATTCTTAGTGGACCACAGTTTTCAATTCTGACAGCCTGACAGCCATTTGCATGGCTTCTGCAGCCCCGGTTCAGAAATCACTGGCCACTGTCACTCTTAAGGGTGTTGAGAGGTTTTAGGAGACCCCAGCTCCCCAATTCCCAGACTTGAGTTCCCTGGGGAAAGGGTTTGATTGTTCAACCACTCTGGCAATTGTAGTTATCTGGCAACAAAAAAGGAAGACAGGTTTGAGTTGATTGGCAAGTGGTTTATGTGCTGGGAGTCTTGTGGGTTTCCACCAGGTGGTCTTCACATGGGCAAGTTCTTTCTCCTTCCACCCTGCCTGAGAACTTTCCCCAAAGGAGGTTTGATGGATTTGAATTAAACCTGGCCAGCGAAAATGCCCTTCTTTCTTGAGGGTTAAGCAGAAATTCAAGGTAATTGTGGTTAGCTTCATGTGCCCAAGAAAGTTGAAAATAAAGAGGGGAACATGTTTTCTCTGCTGCTACTGTTAGTTCTTGGCATTCAATATCCCGCAACCTAGTTTTTATTATAGCCTTGGCAGATGGTAGGGACATCGATCGCAAAAGTTCCACTGACAGCCCGAGTTGCTGCACCTTCTTGTTAACCTGCTGTAGCCCTGAGGAAAGAAAGGGGTCTAACAAAACTTCACTGGGGAGAGGATCTTTATCAGATGTAAGGCAGATGTTTAACCAGCACAGAAGAAATCTTGCCCAGGCGATACTCCCTACCTTGTGTTGACCTCCCTCTAGACACAAGGCTGCATAGGGTACACAGTGTGGGACAGCAAAAATCTTGAAGAGGAAAGCTGCCTGCACTCGTTCTACCAGCTGGGTAAACCCTGGCAGCCAGACTGGAATACCATAGAGCAATTGAGCTGTAATTTTGGCGTTGAAGACCTCCTTTCTTTTAGTAAATGTTTTGTGCCACTGGGGAAGTGGTAATTCTGTACTGATTTGTTTTTGATGTTTGTATGTGATGCCATTAAAAGGTTTGATGATGATGATGATATTCAGGAACATTGCTGCCTCCACCTGTGTAGGCAGAACACAGCCATCATGACTAGTAGTCGTCAGTCATTAGCTGATGCCATGGCAAACACACCTGCCCTCTCTTACTCATTATAGGATTTTTTTTTTTTCATTTTTAGTCCATTTATTAATTTCCTGTAGAACACATTTTGTTTCAGAAAGGACAAAAATGGATAATATACAACCAATTTCTGAAAAAACAAAGCTATTTGAATATATTCAAAATCTCCATAGCCTCACCTTTAAGCTTTTTATTATGTTTGTGGGGAGGTGGGTGCAAAGTGACCTGTATGTCCATTTAATAAAGTCAGCAAATACCCAGGGAAATAAAACAGTCTTAACTTTCTGAGAGTTAAAACACAACGATGGGTAGAGCAACAACTTTTTAAAGAACGCAGTTGCAACCATTAATTTGTATGCTCTCATTTTTGTTTCTGTTTTAAATTTTGAATGAATGTTCTGAACAGGGATTATTATGGTTATTGCAAACATGGCATTGCCAGTGGGTAAATACAACCAAATGGGCAGCAATTGTTCAGTATCATACAGCGAAACATTTGACCACTTACACTGGTCCCTTTACCTTTACTAGTTAGGAATAAAACACTCTTTAGCCATGTAGCTTATACTATCTCGTCCTTCCCTGCGTGCTGGATACTCTGTGTAATGGGGAAACGTGCTTGGAGCCTCATCAAAGGCTCAGGTCGTTAATCACGTCGGAGGAGCTCGGTCGAACGCAAGTCCGACAGGAGAGTCCAACCCGCAGGAACATTTCCTATCAGAAGAAGATTGAATACTACCGCCAGTACTCCAATGGGACATAGTACACATACCCTCCAAAGTCCTGAGAAGAACCTTAATCCCAATTTTATTTTATCATTTGGTAGATTTACACAGACCACTAAATAAAATTTAGAAAGTCAATATTAGATGCAGATGCACAATGCATTATTTTTAAACAGGACTTCTTGTGCTCTGCTCTGCTCCCCCTTTCTTCCCGCCCAGGGTGGCCCTGCCTTCTGCCTGCCCCTCAGTGCCAGAGCATCGCACAGGGCTGGGCCTCTGTGGTAACAGCCTCTCCTCCTCCTCCTGGCCTGCTCTCCAGAGGCTACTATGAGCTGCCCAGGGCAGGAGGCCAGCAGCAGCACCCTGGAGAGGCCATGGGATGCTCCCTTGTAGCTGCAGCTGCCGTTTGGCACAAGCTTGGTGGTGGTGGTGGAAAATAGGGACATTCTGGGATCAAATCAGAAGCCAGGATGGCTTTCATAATTCCAGGGCTGTCCTTTGAAATCGGGACACTTAGAAGGTATGGAGCCCTTGTGCAGGGTTTCCATGTGCCCAAGCCCCCAGAACCAACTTGTATCCAAGCAAAACAAAATGTTCAGATATCACCAGGGAGGTTATTTTGACCGATACGTTCTTTCTATTTAAAGTTTATTCTGTTGTACTATCATTGTGTCTTTTTTTAAATGAGACTTCATGTGATGCTTTGTGATTTGGGGTGGTGGTCTAATGAGGACCAGCTCTGTGGTGAGATGCATCAAAGACAATTTGCTGGCTTCTTTTCACTTCACTAACTCTGAACATCCCCTCTCCCCCCTGCTAAATATATCAGAGAAAAATATTGGTGGGTGAGAGCCCTCTGTCTCATTCATACACACACACACACACACACACACACACACACACACACACATATGAGAAACCATTTAGTGTAACCACTAGATGGCAATAAGCAGGAACAGATCTCATAGTATGACAGTGGTCTATTTTTATCCGCAACCTGTATATATTTTCTGGCTCAGTCTGTGTGGATCTTCCTCTGCCTCTTCCTTCAGAGACATGGTTGTTTAAGTCAATCTACTGGTTGCTGATTAAGTCTGAAACACTGGAGAGCTTCTGTCAGTGAGTGTAGACAATACTGAGTAAGATGAGCCGGTGGCCTGACTCAGTATAAGGCATGCTCACTACTAACTCACTAAACTCTAATCTTCATAAGGCCAGCAAAACAAAAACATTAAAAAGACTTGAACTGAGCAGGCTCCAGCTTCATTAGTATGAAATGGTGTTTACATCTAGCCCAACGCCCTGCAAGGCAGAAATAGGCAAGGATCAAACAGGGATCAAATCTGAAACCTTGGAGTTATCAGTACCATACTCTAACCAGCTGAGCTATCCATGAATCTTCAGATCATCAATACCAAATTTGTTTTCCTGATTTAAAAAATCATTTTAAAACTTACAATGAAGGTATTTAGATGCACCATTGGGTGCATATTCTGATAGCAGTAGGTGATTTTTAGATGATTTAATTCAATTTTACTTTTCAGTTTGAATACAAGTTGTGTCAAGTGGTAGTGAATTAACAGCACAATTCGAGCGCTGTAACTATACAGTACAAATTAACCAATGGTTTAAATTTAAATTTATTTTTAACAAAATCATTTTATCCCACAACTGGTTCTATGGCTTCCCCCCTTCATCTCTTCACTTCTATCAATTCAGAAAGAAAACATATGGACCTCAGGGTTTCTAATTAAATTCTGAATGCACACAGACATAACAATATAATGTGATAAACATGTGCTTTGGTTCCAAGAGACTGTAAAGACTGTGCTCTAATGGAACTCTGGAAAAAAATTAATGCTCATGTTTCATATGGTTTTATCACAATTCCAATGCCCTAGAATAATAAGTATGAACTGTATGCATACTATTTGCCAGCCATCTACCCCCAACCTGGTGCCTTCCTGATGTTTTAGACTACAGCTCCCATCAACCTCAGCCACCCCCTTCCTGTGAAGGAGGAATTTGCATTTGGAGGATATTCCCCACTGCAACAATGGATGGTCTATCTCCTAAAAATTAGCTTTGTATGAAGGAATTTCCTCAGGACTGCAACAGGGGAGGAAAGGGTTAAACCCCCTGCTGACCAGCTGCAATTTCAATCGATAGGGGCACCTAAGCTGCTACTAATTGCATTTTTAAAAACCCGAACATTTAATGAAAAGGTGCATTTAACATCACATATTATGTCATGCTAGTGGGTATTTTGACACGACCTATTAGTAAGCTGCATGCTTGGTATAATGTTTACATATGTTAAATGGACAAGTAATTGTTGATTATTAATTTTTTAGTGGTAAGTTTAGTGATATTACAGTGGTACCTCGGGTTACATATGCTTCAGGTTACAGACTCCGCTAACCCAGAAATAGTACCTCGGGTTAAGAACTTTGCTTCAGGATGAGAACAGAAATCGTGCTCCGGCAGCATGGCGGCAGTGGCAGGCCCCATTAGCTAAAGTGGTACCTCAGGTGAAGAACAGTTTCAGGTTAAGAATGGACCTCCGGAACGAATTAAGTTCTTAACCCGAGGTACCACTGTATATGTATTCTTAGGTATTGTCATTGTATTACTGCACTGAGAATTTGTTTTTTCTGTGAACTGCTTTGAGCCCAGATTTACTATGGAAAATATGGTACATAAATAAAATGCCAACGACAATGCCAACATGTTCATGGTTTTAAATTAGTATTTCTGAGTGGGGTTCTAATGGCTGGTAGCTAAGACCCAAAGAGCTGCACCAACTACTGCTGCGTGGTCAAGAGGTCTTTGGGCTTCTGCTTTTCCGAGAGCAGATTATCTCCATGCCATATGGCTCTTGGACAGCAGGCTCTTTTGAAAGCAATCTGTGATATAGTAGAAGGCTCTGCTATGGAAAAAAGGAAAGTTCAAAACCATGCCAAGTCCTGTCTTTGAAATAAGAGCAGTTCACATGTGGCATGGATGCTGATCATTGTATGAGCACCCAGTTCTTATTATTCACCAAGCACTTGATCGTTTTAGGTGTGAACTTAAAACACCAACCTGAAATATAGCTGGTCAGGAATCTGGTTAGCATAGTGTAAGTAACTGTAGGGATGCGGGTGGCGCTGTGGGTTAAACCACAGAGCCTAGGACTTGCCAATCAGAAGGTCGACGGTTCGAATCCCCGTGATGGGGGCAGCTCCCGTTGCTCGGTCCCTGCTCCTGCCAACCTAGCAGTTCAAAAGCACGTCAAAATGCAAGTAGATAAATAGGTACAGCTCCGACGGGAAGGTAAACGGCGTTTCTGTGTGCTGTTCTGGTTCACCAGAAGTGGCTTAGTCATGTTGGCCACATGACCTGGAAGCTGTACGCCGGCTCCCTCGGCCAATAAAGCGAGATGAGCTCCACAGCCCCAGAGTCATCTGTGACTGGACCTAATGGTCAGGGGTCCCTTTACCTTGCCCACAAGCAGGATCTGAGTACAACAACACTCTCATTACCTGTGGTTTCCAGCAGCTGGTATTCAGAAGCATACAGCCTTCAACCATGTAGGCAGTATATAAGACTCCCGACAGCTTCCCAGCAGGATCACCTAAGGTGGTAAGGTCAAGGGGAACAGCTAGACAAGGAATGATCCAAGAAGTCCTCAACAGCAGAACAGGTGGAAGATAACAAGTGGTATGTTACAACGGCTGTGAAGGCAGATGAAGGCTGCAGCAGATAAGAATCTACTGGTCATCATGGCACTCATGCCATCAGAATAGAGCCTTACTGCAGAGTGTGTGTTGGTCAGTGTGCAGTGATCTACACACATAAAACAAATTCATGCACAGGCGTCTTCCAAAAACCCAGCCCAAACCCAAACTTTTCTAGGAGGGGCTAACATAGTCTTCCTCCCTTTTCCCCTGACTGGATTACCGCGCCCAGTGGGGTCACCACCCAGTGGTCGTAAAAGACAATTGAACTTTGGAAAATGGAATATATGGACTTTGTGAGATAACACAGATAATGAGCATCCCAAACACAGGACTGCCATCATTGCAAGAGAATTGCAACGTTTTAACATTGATATTGCAGCGCATCAAGAAATTCTAAAAGCAGGAGAGGAACAACTGTAGGAAGAAAGAGGAGGTTACACATTCTTCTGGAAAGGTCTACAAGAACATCAGATACATGGAGTAGGCTTTGCCATCAAAAATGATCTTGTGAAGCTCTTGTCAGAAGTCCTTACCAGCATTAATGAGCGACTTTCAACTCTTCGAATAAAACTCACCAAAAAACAACAGGTTACTATTTTAAGCACTTATGCACCAACACTGAGCAGTGTTTACCAAAGGTGTCATGGACTTTGAAGACGCTCAGACTCAGGACGAAAGGGAGAAATGTGCTAAGAGGAAGGCACGTTTGGCAAACCCTCACCATGATCAACTCCTGCCCAGAAACCTATGTCCCCAATGTGAAAGGACCCCACTGTGAATTGACCTCCACAGTCACTTATGGACTCACTGTTTAAGACCGTGTTCACGGAAGACAATCTTACTCGGCTATGAGTGGAAGAAGAAGAAGAAGAAGAAGAAGAAGAAGAAGAAGAAGAAGAAGAAGAAGAAAGAAGGGGCATAACCATCATGGTGCACAGCCGTTGATAATTTTGTCCTCCATGAATTTGTCTAATCCTCTTTCAAAGCCATGCAGGTTAGTGGCCATCACTGTGGCCTCTTGTGGGTGTGAATTCCATAATTTAACTTTGCCCTGTGTAATAATAATAATAATTATAACAACAACAACAACAACAACAACAATAATATAATAATAATTTATTTCTACCCCACCCATCTGGCTGGGTTTCCCCAGCCACTCTGGGCGGCTTCCAACAGAACACTAAAATACAATAACTTATTAAACATTAAAAGCTTCCTTAAACAGGGCTGCCTTCAGATGTCGTCTAAAAGTCCTATAGTTGTTTATTTCCTTGACATCTGGTGGGAGGGTGTTCCACAGGGCAGGTGCCACTACCGAGAAGGCCCTCTGCCTGCTTCCCTGTAACTTGGCTTCTTGCAGTGAGGGAACCGCCAGAAGGCCCTCGGTGCTGGACCTCAGTGTCCGGGTAGAACGATGGGGGTGGAGACGCTCCTTCAGGTATACTGGACCGAGGCCGTTTAGGGCTTTAAAGGTCAGCACCAACACTTTGAATTGTGCTCAGAAACGTACTGGGAGCCAGTGTAGGTCTTTCAAGACCAGTGTTATATGGTCTTGGCGGCTGCTCCCAGTCACCAGTCTAGCTGCCGCGTTCTGGATTAGTGTGATAAAGTTTCTTTTGTCTGCCCTGAATCTTCCAACATTCAGATTAACTGGCTGTTCCCAAGTGCTAGAGCTATGAGGGAGAAACTTTTCTCTATTTTACACATTTCTATCATGCTACTCACCTTTTCGCTGAACTAAGAAGCCCCCAAAGGTGTAACCTTTCCCCAAAGAGGGGGTTACTCCATCCCCTTGACCATTTTGATCATACAGGATGATTGGCATTTGCGCCAGTCAGAAATGCAGGTATTGCAGGTAGATGTATTGCAGCAGATTTCAAATGAATGCACCTTCCTAAGCGCAGGATACAAGACCACAACAACCCTGCAATTACTATATATTCTTAATTCATCAAAAATTATGCAAGGCTTATCAAAGGAGGCACTTTCCCCTTTTTCTCCAGTCCTGTTTGGATTTCAACAAAACAAAATCAATCACTAGTCACCTGCCTTTGTGTTTTCTACTTTGAATCCTTTCCCCACTCCTTTTTGCCTTTTGCAACTTACCTGTGGGTCATGTTCCAGGGATTGAGCCTAAAATCCAAACCGCATATAGTCAAAACAAATTGGGCTCAATAGCAGGTGGGATTGCCAAAGTCATTTTTCCCGGAACCCTGCCCTCTTTCTTTCTTTCTTTCTTTCTTTCTTTCTTTCTTTCTTTCCCCCCACCCCCCATTTTTCCTCTTTTGCCACATACATAAAGCTGAATGTGCACATGTTAAATGTGAATAAGTTACGGACTTACTGTACAAACAATGACTGAACTACAGACAACTCCCAATTTACATGGGGGTTATGTTTCAAGGCACCTTGTGGTTAAGTGAAGTCCCATATATTTGAAACACCACTGAAAAAGCCTGCACCCAGTTCCACCCTGCCCCTTTTTGTGATGCTTTTTGTGACATTTCTGGGTCAGTTCCAGGTTCAGCACAATACGCACATGTGCAGTCGCACACATATTGGACGTGCTTAAAACACGTGGTGGGAAGCAATCACAAAATAGAAAGAACAGAATATCCCAGCAAAGCACATCTTCCCTTTCAAGGATAGAGACAAAGGTGACTTTGAAGT